TCAAAGGCATCAATTCTTCTATCCTCCCTGGTCATTGTCCAACTCTCTGATGCATAATAAGTGATTGCGAAGACCATGGCCTGTATCAGACGCACCTTAGTCTCCAGAGAGACACCATTGCTCTTCAGTACTTTGGAGAGGTCCCTAACAGCAGACTTTCCCATGGCAATGCGCCTTTTCATTTCCTGGCTGCTGATGCCAAGACTGTTGACTATGGAGCCAAGCAAACTAAAGCTGTGTACAATCTCAATCCCTTCACCATCCATCCTGATGCTGCCAATTGGTCCAGTGGTGAGAATCTTTCTCTTCTTGACATTGAGCCTCAATCCATATTGTAGGCTGCAGTCCTTGACACTCTGCAGCAGGTGCTTCAGGTCCTCTTCATTTTCAGCAAGTAGGGTTGTGTCATCTGCATAACGCAGATTGTTGATAAATCGTCCACCAATCCTGACCCCACATTTCTCCTCATAGAGCCCAGCCTTCCGGATAATCTGTTCTGCATATAGGTTGAAAAGGTATGGAGATAGGATGCATCCCTGGCGTACGCCCTTAGCTATTTGTAATAGTGATCTTATACCATACCATACCTCTTCTCTTGTGACTGACTTATGTCATGTGACATAATCTGTTCTAAACTCATCCATGCTGTGCAAATTGTATATCTATTTTTGGTGATACTTCATTTTGTGAATGTACCACAGTTTCTTTAGTCAATCATCCACTGATGGACACTTAGGTTGTACTGCAATAATCATGGGTGAGGGAGGTGTATGTATGGATGAAGCTCTTATTTCTTTGGGATATATACCTAGTAGTAGAATTGCTGAGTCAAATGGCAAACGCTATTTCTATTCTCAACTTTCTAAGAAAGCACCAATTGTTTTCTATAGTAGTTGCTATAGAATCATTTTACATTCTCCACCAATAGTGTATGAGAGTCCCAATCTCTCCACCTCTTCATCAGCATTTATTCTTTCCTGTTTTATTGAACATGGCTACTGTTGCTGTGTTACATGGCTAGTGTTGTATCTCACTGTTGTTTTGAATTGCGTTTCTCTAGCTCATGTTCACTTTATTTCTTCATGTGCTTGTTAGCCATTTGACTGTCTCTGGTGAAGTGTTTATTCACGTCCTCATCAATGGCTGGAATTTTGGAAGTAGATGTTTAGAACCTTCCTCCAGGGTGCTTCTGCACATATACAAATTCCCAACCTTTTGTTTAAAATCCAAGCATATTAACCAGAACTACAATGTAACTACTCAGGGAGCTACAACTAAGCATCTTAGATTTACTAGTTAGTCTGTCCTCTGTCCCACTTTGTGAATTACACTTTCTTCTCATATAGAGAATCACTTGTTGCAAAATACTAGTGACTCCTTTGTTCTACGCCAGTTGGTAAATTGTCATTTTCAAGATTAAACCCAAAAACCACAGAGACAGAACCACAGCCAAACTGTATCTAGAGTCATAACATTTATATCCATGTTGCTGTCAGGTGCTGTCCACGTGACTATGACCCACAGCATCCCTATGTGAAGAACCAATTGACACTTGGACCTAACTTGTGACACCCTTACAATCTCTGCTTTATTCAAGTCCAGTCTTGCAGTCGCTGTGCCAATCCACGTCCTATTATGCAGTAAGTGAAAAATAGAGTGTTTCTCTTCTCCCTTCAAAAAGCAGTTGAAGTCTACAGGTCACCTCCTGATGACCTTCTACCCATAGTAACCACAACTCTATGACTCTGTTTGACTTCACAAGTTGCTACTATCCACAAACAGGCTAACTCTGTAGCACCTGCTGTCTTGTGAAGTGCTGGTGAACCTCATTGCTTCCTCTGTAAGAGGAGCAGCAGCCAAGGAGTCAACGGGATGTGTGGCTTTAGCATCCCTCTTGATTTTCTCCCAGTGTGGTCAGAGATGCACTGGAACACTCAGAAGGCAAGGGTGTTGAGGCTCTGTGTCAACAATAAACTGTCAGTAAAGTGGAGAGCCTTTCCTTGTTCAATTGCCCTTAAGAAGGATACAGGACAGAAATGATGGGGCATGTTCTCTATATTCCCACATGAGTACCCTTTCAAGGAGCCTTGGTGGCATCATAGTTCAAGCACTGATAATTGAAAGGTCAGCAGTTCAAATCCACTCGCCACTCTGAGGGCGAAAGATAAGGCAACCTCTTCCTATTGAGATTTACAGCCTCAGAGACCTGATGGAGGACTGACAAGAGCTGGAATCAACTCAATAGGTGTGAGTCTGGCTTTTGGTTTTCCCCCCCTTTTAGCAGCCTGAGTGATGCAGTGATTAAGGGAGTCAGCTGCTAACAGAAAGGTCAGGGGTTTGAATCCACGCAGTCACTCCACTGGAGAAAAATGAATGCAGGTGTTTCCATAAAGATTTCCAGGCTTGGAAACCACAGGGGCATTTCTACTCTGTTGTTCTAGAGTTGCTGTACGTCAGAATTCACCTGCTGGCAGTAGGTGCTAGGTTTTCCAAAGGGCCTAGCAAATGCCTAACATTGTGTGTGCTGTCGATCTGGAACTGACTCATGGTGATCCTCCAGCAGGTTTTCTCTCTCTTTTTTTTATTTTATACTAGTTAATTTACAAAATTTGAATACATTGTTTTAGAGAACAGACGCTTTCAATTCCCTTCACTCCCCCAACCCATCAAATTGTACAGCCCTATGACTAATCCCCCAGTCTCCCTGCATATCCTCATCCCTCTGCTTCCACCCTTTCCCAGCCCTCCTAGATCCTTATATCCATTCTACAATAACAGTTTTATACAATATTTGTCCTTGTGGAACTGAGTTCATTCAGCATAATGCTCTCCAGTCCTTCCCAATTTAGGTAAAATATTCACAAAATCATTGCTCCTACGTGCTGTATAGTATTCCATTGTGTCCAGCAGGTTTTCTAGAGGCAGTTTATAGTATGAGAAGAATTGCCCATGTTTCTCCCACAGAGCTGCTGGTGGATTTGAACTGTATACCTCTGTGTTGCCAGTGCAATTCCTTACCAACAGGCCTCCAGAGCTCCCTGTGTGTTCCCTAACAGGACCTCATTTTTCAGGCACTGGGATTACAGTGTCAAACACTCTGCTAGTGGCTGGGATTTTCTCTGGCCCTGTGTCCTCCTTGCACCTCCTGCTTCAAGATACCCCCTCAGGGCCTGCTTTTCCGTCCATGACTCAAGAATAAGTCATAACTGCTTTCCAGGGACCCAGGGATCATGGCTTCTTTTCAGGCTGATAGATGAAAATACTCAATCCATCTTGTTTCTAGAGAAGCCTGCATCAATAAAGCTGATATGCTGACGGATATTTATCTTGTCTCCTTGAATCCATTAACTGGACCTGGGGGAAAAGGCGCTCAACCTTAGGCGGTGCTTCAGAAGGTTTAGCATTTGATAGCAAGTAAGGCTAACACATTAATAAGGCTCTTAGAGGGTCCGTGGTTTGTTCCTCCTGCTTCCACCTCAGCATGCTCACTGAAATCCAACCTCGCGGAGACCAGAGGTTCTCAAAGGAGGTCAGCACTGCCCTCTAGGGGGTGTTGTGAAAATCTACAAGGATCTCTAGGTTGTGACACTACTGACATTTAGTGGGAAAAGAGGAAAGAAAGAATGGGAGGTATCCTACACTATCTATCATGTGTTTCCAGCTCCCAGAATTTCAAAAATCTTGCTAAACTTAGATAAAGGTTTAAAAATTGTTTCTGATGCATCTCATACATGTTTCTACGTGTGCATGTGTGCGTGTCGAACACTTTACATACAATATCAGAAGATTCAAGGGGTGATATGGACAAGCATTTCCACAGATTGTGACCAGTGCTATCTTGAGTGGTTGTGTGAGGTTCAAGGGAGCTTTTACCAACTCAGTTATGCATTTCTACATACCTTCAAGTTCTTTTTTTTTAAAAAATGTATTGGTTTTGCAATTAGGAAAATAAAAGGCAATTTAAGAGAACCCAAAATGGGCAAAACGTTTTAAGCAAATTACAACATAAAACTACGCCTGAGAGATACAAGTATTTTGAGAAAAACTGACTTACATTAATCCAATAAGTTCAGGTCACTTAAACTCAACAAATAAATGTTACTTGTAATTTTCTGAACCTAGCATCTATGTATAAATATAACTTGTCTTTTTCATCGCTTTAATAGATACTCAGTTTTCCAGGAATCCAATAGGTAGGAAGATGAAGATGACACTGTGAAGGGGTGGCTTAGGAAAATCCAAGCCCTGATACCAAACACCACTGTGGTATTTAAGCCACTGACACAATAGTTGTGCATGAGTCAATTTGAAGCCATGATATTGACAGTGAACCTGATAAATGTCTGCATCTCTCTCTTTTAAAAAAAACTGTGATTTAGGTTCAAGTTTACAGAACACATTAGTTTCTCATTCAACAATTTATACATATTTTTTCTTTTTTATTTCTTGCAATTCTTTATTTTTTTAAAATTTTACACTGGTTTACCTACAAAGTTTGTATACACTGCCCCTCACATAGGATCTGCATCTCTTTTCATTATCCCTTCATGCACTAGCATGCCTGAGCAGTTCTTCTCTTCTTGTGTCTCTTATAGCTCAATTAGAGCATCTTATTTGGTTGTTTGAAATTTTACACATAGAAGAGCTATATTTTAAGCATGACTCTTGTGTCAGGAACACAAATGAAGTGTTACATAAAATGCAGATACTGGGACTGGCAGGATTGAGAGCCACAGATTCAGAGTCTCAGATTACAAGGCAACGCCTTCAATTCTAGTCTCCAGATGCTTGATTAAGCTCTTACAAGGCAGTGGCGGCCAAAGCAGAGGAAGTTGGGAGAAGGATTCTGTTTGTCATAGATCTAAGCTTGTGTAAAACAGGATCTTCGTTGCTCTGGGGTAAGGCCGGGGGTAAGCAGGGACTTCCCCCCATAGCACAGAATTTAAAAAACAGCTGCTCGTCAGCACAAAGATGCAAACAGACTGGGTTGTGCTACTTACACAGGTCCTCAGAGGTAGCCGGGGCGAAGGCAGCCATGGACTCATAGAGTTCCTCATCACAGCCGGGGTTCAGGGAGCATTTCATGAGCAGGTCTGTGGAGAGGTGGGCCATGGACTCATACACGGCATCAGCCTCCTCCTCCCCCTGCATCAGTTCCTCCTTTATGTGACTTTTCAACATGTCTACAGTTTCCTGGAAGAGAAGACAAGACTCACATGCACTAAGCCGTCTGGCCTTCTGAGTACAGTTAGGCCCCAACAACAAGCTTGTGGAGGGGGAGAAAAACCCCTTTGGGTAGGCCAAAATTGCATTTGTTTGTGCATGTTAGCATTCCCCATCAAGCTAGAAGTTCCTCAAGGCCAGGCTCTATGTCTTTTTAAAAATTTTACTGTGATAAAAAATATAACAAAGCCTTTGCCGTGTCAATATTTTTTCACACATACAGTTCAGTGATATTTTACATCCATCATGCTATGCATCCATCACCGAGCTTTTGTTAAGGGTGCTGGGGAAATTTGGAAATGGGCAGTAGTGGTGGTGGTGTTAATCTTGGCATGTTCCCGTAACACTAAGATACACAATATACTCAGGAGACACCAGTGACTTGAGATAAAAAATGAAAAGTTTTCTCTTGAGGTTAGGTATCAGCGCCTCCATTATCTCACATCAACTTTTCTACCACTGCTTGAGAAACATCAAATATTCCTTAGCTTATAGATGAGAAAACAAAAGCGAGAAATGCTAAAGTGCCTTACTTAAGGGGTCATAATCTTAGTTTAGAAGAAAATAATTTTCAATCCTTTCACTCTGTTTTTAAAGCATTTCTTTAAACCAATAATTAATGGTCTTAAATATGTAACATGCATGATAATAATGTTACAAGGATAGGAAAGGGGTAGGGACATATTGGAGCTAAGTTCGTGCATGTTGTCGAGGTGAAGGCAGTAGTAAATTGAACTGGATTGGCTTTGTTCATTTTAACAAACAGGTAAACTGAATGAAGGGAAAGGAAATACACAATAAAGCATTGATTAGACATTAAGATTAGTAATTAACCAATGTGCTTTAATATTATAAAACAAATGTCTACGAATGATTGTGTAAAAAACCAACGTGATCTATAAAACCTTCACTGAAATAATAATTTTAAAAAAACCCTAAAGCAACTTAGCTTTTGACTTTTCACCTAAACTCTTAACGGTTCCTCAGCAAGGAACAGATGACACAAGAGAACAAACTGATGAGGCACAAAGGGACACAACGAGCTAAAGGGGCTGCAGTCAGGTGCTCTCACGTGTGGGTATTCAGAGGTATTCCAGAGCCACCAGTCTCCCAGGTGCTACCAGCAGGTTCCCCCCTCCCCTTAACTTTACCTGTGACCCAATGGGCTTGGAGAGTATTTTTAGTGACACTCCCTAAATTCAGAAAGGCTGCCTCTCTGTCCTTCTGCCTGCAGGTGGCTATGCAGCTGAAGGTCTGGCTTTTCTGAGGTATCTACAACCTTTCCTGGTAAGAAACTCTGTTATTTCATAATCCTCATTGCAGCATGAACGCAAAAAAATCCTCATTTTCATCATAATTATACCTTTGAAGAGCTGATGGGTCTGGGAGACAGCACATTCATTCTATAAACATCTTGATAAATTCTTGGAAGGTAGTCTGAAATGTTTTATGTATTTTATAATTTTTTTATCCCTATAATTTTTTTTAATCCCTAAGATAGATAACCCTAGAGATCTTGGTGACCTTGTGGCAAGAAGCTGTGCTGCAATCCCGAAGGCACACGTTTCGAGGCCACCAGCTGCTCCACAGAAGAAGGATGAACAATCTCCTCCTGTGTGATTAACCACCTCTGAAAACCCACGGCAGGGTCTGCTATGGGTCGGTTCCAACTTGACATATGCAACAACAACAACAAGATAACTCTATCATTAAAACAATTACTCTTTTCTGCATATAGAAAACTGAGACACAGGATAAGTGACTATTTATGGAAGTCACATGACTAAAAAAGCATTGGTGCAGAAAACTAAACCCAGGTCCACTGGATGCCAGGGTTCATCTCTTAACCCCACACATCCTGCTGGTGACTGGAAGAGGCACACGAGGACATCGAGTAGGTGAAATGTGATCGTATCTTTGGTGAAAAGGCACATCTAGAACCACCCTGTGCGTTTCCAGGTCTGGGACCACTCCAAACTTGACCTTACCACGTATTCGTCGATGAACTGCCGCAGGTCCCTGAAGCCATGTTTCTCAGCAATGGTGTTGGGGTAGTGGCCATGCTTGTTGGCCACACTGTATGCCTGAAGGGCTCCTGGGCAGGTGAGCAATAAGGCAGTAAGGTTCTTCAGGCCATATTTTGCAGCAAAATGCAACAAGGTGGGCAGCTCCTCATCTCTCTGATCTAAAAGGAAAATTGCCAAAGCAAACTAAATGGACAGATTCTTTGTCTGCACAGGCAAAGCTGTTTAAGCATAGCATGGAACCTATGTTCCTTGTTGACTGGTCAACCAACGATTTCACAGTTCCTTAGTGGTACCAATGAAGTTCACATCTACATGACAGAAGAGTTGATATTTTAATTAATTAGCAAATAGAATCATTCATATTCTTCATTATTGGGAAATAATCCCAATAAAGACAAAGAAACAATTAAATTAAAAATATGCTGATTTTAAAACCAACCCAACAACTCCTTAATAACATCCACAAAGACCAACAAGAATCAGGCTGACCTTCTCTGCAAATTTCTGAACACTAAAATTCTTGGTTTAGGCTTTTTAAAAGGAGAGAAGTCCCATCTCTCCAATTTCATAAAAATGTGCTAAATGACTCTGGATATGTTACTTAGTCTTCTTATAGGCCTTACCTTTGAGTGAAAACAGTATTTACATACTACCTCAAAGTAACAAGTGAAGATTTTGATAGCATTCATCAGTCTTTGGGAGAGGATGGGCATGTCTGTTAAGAATAAAGAATTCTCAAGAATCACTGGATCACCACGGTCCCCTCCCTTCTAATACATAGCTAAAGCAAATCAAATTCAACCAAGAAATTAATAGATATATCTGTGTTGTACAGTAAGGAACCCTGGTGGCATAGTGTGTTAGGTGACATGCTGGACTGTTTACTGAAAAGCTGGTGGTTTGAATTCACCGGGTGACAGAGACAGATGGCCAGTGTCAGGGATTGACTGGTGCCCCCTCGCCCCCTGAACACATGAATGTAACGATATAATGTGGAAAATATGTAATGATCCCACAATATGATAAACCAAATAGTTGTAAAAGGAATAAGGATGGAACACAATATCCCTTAATTTCATCACAGCCCTGATATATATAAGGGAAGTATCATCTCTTATCTCACTAGAAAGAAAATAGGAGGAAACTGAGAAAAGAAGGGGAGGCCTCAGTACCATTAAGAAAGAGTTGCCAGGAATGGAATCTTCTGGACTCAGATCTCTGAAGCTCCATGATATTAGGGAAAATCATGAGACATGAAGACCTCCAAGGCATACCAGCCTCCAGATGCTACGTAAACAAGGACCTTCTAGAACTTAGAGATGAGACTTTCCCTTAGAGCTGACACCCTGAATTTTGACTGTTAACCTCATAAACTGTAAGGGACTACATTTTTGTTTGTTTAAGTCACCCACTTGTTATATCTTTGTTAAAGCAGCAATGGGAAGGTAGTCTCCTCTCTTAAAGATTTATAGTCTCAGAATCCCAATGGAGAGTATGAATTGGAATCAACAATACTGAGTTTGGTTTTGATGTTGTGGAGTTTGGGGTGGGGGGGGCAGAAATATATCCTTCACTCCATAAAAGTTTCTTTCTAATCCAACAATGATTCCCCCTCCCCCAATATGACAAGCCCAGCTTTTTATTCACCAGGACAGATGATAAAGGGAATAAAAGTGTCTTCAGGTCCCCACGATTTTAGGCTATTACATGCTCTCTCCTGAGTTCCAAATACAACAGCTGAGATTATCAGTAACTTCTAGAAATAATACAGTAACATTCAATAGTAGAAAAATGGGGAGAAGCAACAAGAAAGATTAGGCTTCACTCCCATTCCCCAAGAGGAGGAGGACTAGAAGGGAATGAAGCCTCATACTTGGGTTATGGAAAGATGGAATGAAGCGAATCATCCCCACAGGCTTGGGAACCATCTGTGCAGTACAATTGAGCATGAAGGAACAGCATGTCCACCGAAGCCTCGTAACAGGCATCTTGTTCAGTGCACTTGACCTCTCTCAGTTCCTAGCACATCACATATGAACAAGAGGAAGCCCCTCATTAAACACTTATTTGTTCAGAGTCTGCCATGAGCCAGAATGTCAGGCTCAATCCCAGCTCTCAATCGAGCTGATAGCATCATAAAGCAGACAGACCAGGCGGGAGAGTGCTAGGACAGGGGACACCCAAGTGCTGGGACTGGGAGCAGGGGGAAGCAAGGGGAAAACCTACTCAAAGTTCTGAGAACGCACTGCCTAATGTTCAAATCCACCAGCCAAAAGATGGGCAATCATCTCCTGTGCTCCTGTGCTGTTAAGTGCCTCTGAAATCCACTTGAAGATCAGCTATGAGTCAGTTCCAACGTGACAGTACATAACAACAACAAGTTGCTAGAAGGAGGTGAGGAGGGTTTAGCCAGATAAATGAAGGACAACCAGGGAAGGGAAGGAGGATGAGTCAAGGAGCAAGAGACAGAGCTGCACTTTCACGAGATGGAAAAGACAGTCACACCTTCCAGAGAAGAAAGCAGAGCCACCAAGAGAGGATGCAGGAAGAGATAAGGCCAGAAATGCAGCACAGGGACTCTGGCAAGGGCTTGCAAACAGGTTTACCGAGTTTTCACTTTATCTAGAAGGCAAGGAGGAACCACAGAGGGCTTTAAGCAAAGAGATAAACTACCAATATATTTGCATTTTAGAAGATTCTCTGGTGACCTGGTGGCGAATGAATCCTTCTGAAAGGATGAGCAATAGAGCTAGGACCAGCAGAAAGTCTGTGCCTAGATGACTAGATGCTAGAATTTGCTGGGTTTCCTAAGGTTTAACTGCTGGCTTACTTGTCATCATATCTTCTTCTTCCAACTGGCTGATTCCAAACAGATGCAGTCCACTGGCAGGGATGTTGTTCTTTAGGGACTCTGTTAGCAGTTTGTCCAGGGTTTCTGTGTTGTAGGGCACAATTTTGAAGGCCTGAATGAAAAAGGCAAAGACAAGCCTGCAATTCATCCATTATTGCTCAGGCTGATGATCAATGAGCAGAAACGGAAACCAAAACCAAGCATACAACCACTGAGTCAATTCTGACTTGTAGCTACCCCACTGGACCCAGGAGAAGCTCCCCACAGTGTTTCACAGGCTATAAATCTTTACAGAAACAGCCTGCCTCGTCCTTCTCCCATGGAAGAATTCCATGCTAGTGAATCGAAACCCTAATCTTTCAGTAAGGAGCCTGGTGCTTAACCCACTACACCACCAGAGCGCCTCGAGCAGGAACGATATGCCTAGAAACCTCAAGTTTCCCTTCAGCATCCTTACTTGGCACATGAATTCCACAGGGTTCGAGGCACTGGACAATAAATTGCCAATTTCTTCCATGTCAGTGTAATAACTGATGGTGGTTTCACACACCAAGTCTCTGCAATATACCTTCAGAGAAACATTTCCCGACGAAAGGTCTGAAAGGAAGAAATGATAGCATAACAATGAGGTGCCCAGTAGGCCATGGGTCAGGAATCTACTGAAATAGCATTTTAGACAAATGATGGGATCCTAAACCAGAAAAGCAGTGGACGGCAGAGGGGTATAAAGACAAGGTCAATTGGAGTTGGTAATTGATTGGATGTAGGGAATGGTAAGGGAGGCCTCTAGGGTGATCAATACAGATGTGGTGCAATCAAGGGCATGTGAACCACAGTTCTGATCAGGCCATGCTTCCCCCTGACACAATAGTCTGTGGTGCTTCTCTACATGTTATGCATGGACTGCTGCTGACCAAGAGGGGAATTTAGGTGGTAGACAGAAAAGCGTTTCTTTCAAGAGTTGTTGTTTAGATTTAGGTTTATTGAAGCATGTTAAATAGGCCATCAAAGTCATGGTTTCATAAATAGTCATGCTTAAGAAACAACTAAAAAGTTTAAAGGTAGTCTATATAACTTTTTTTAAAATGTAATTATGATTCTTGGGGTACTTGAATTAAAAAAAAATGTAAAGAAATAATTAAGGCCTGGGAAATGCAGATTATAGAAAAAAAACCTGAGGTGTCCAGAAAGAAGGGAGACTCAAGGAAAAGTGCTTATATGTGCACAAGCTCTATTTTAATGATGACGTAATTAATTAGGGGCAGGGAGAAAGATCTGAACAGAACAAGAGAGACAGAAGAGTAAGGTAAGGGGGGAGGGAAGGGAAGAGTGGGAGGGTGAGGTAAGTGGACTAGTGTATGGCGAGTACGATGAGTTCTCTGGCTCTGCAATTTCATTTTCAAAGCAGTTTTATCTGCTTTGTGCAATACTGTAGGTTCAGTGTCTCACTAAACATAAAGGGAAATTCAATGGTGGCCAGAAGGCTAGGGATCCTCAGAAGCACAACTTGTGTTTCCGCCTCATTGGGACTGCTGAATTGATTGACTTGCTCTGGTGCTGTCATTACTACGTACTCAGCCTGGAGCAGGATTCTGCAGCACAGGAAGGGGTTTTGAGGGGAAAAGAAAATTTAAAAATATACCAACCACAAAGATTCGATTCATAAAAGAGGAAATGCGACAAGTAGAGAACATGGAAAAATAGTCAACCTCACTAGTAAACAAAGAAATGCAAATTAAAATAATGAACTACTTTAAAAAAATTATCAAATTAGGAAAAATATTCAAAATTATATGCTTAGTACTGGTGATGGGTAGGAAATATGCTTGACATTTTCTATAGTTTGAGGAAAAAAATGAAGCTCTGCATTGAAATGAAAAATAAATAAATTTTTAAAAAATGAAGCTCTGTTTTTCAAGGACTTTGAAAATGATCACCATTTTCAGGGATTCCATTTTGAGGGATTATATATTCTAATACACACACACACACACACATACAAAACCAGCCAAACTTTGCACAGAGATCCTTATTATTTATACATTTTACAAATAAAGACATTAAAAATTACATACACATATAATAATAAGGAAATGAAAAAGTAAAGAGGAGACTATTCAACTGAAACTTTAAAAAACTATGAATATAAGACACAGTTCCAACACAAGGAACTGGTAAGGTAAATTACTGTCCACTGATACAATGGAAATTACCTTACAACCATTAGGCATCACTTTAAAAGACTGCTTATGAAGTGAGAAAATATTCACATACACGATCACAATAATTTTTAAAGGCATATTAATGTATTAACTTTACAATTGGAAAAAAAATTCATGCCATGTTCTTTTCCACCACAGACAGCCATTTTTGCAACTTCCTTTTCACTTCAGTAGAACATGACAATCGGGCTCAAATCTTGGCATCACTTTTCTCAGCTGCTGAATAAAGAAGACAGGAAAGAGGAAGAGAAGGCAAGAGTGATTTCCAGGGACAGATGAGCCACTTACTGGGGGCCTTCACAGCAACGGTGTACTCATTCTCCAGCTTGGCTTCCACCCGGATTGAGTGGGAATCTTCAGGAGAAAACTCCACTTCCGGTGTCACTCTCTCATCCAACTTGCATTTCACAATAATGTAGACCGTGGTTTCTGCCTAGAATGGGAGACTGGTCAGTCCCTTCACTCTCCTGGGCTCCCTATTAATAAGGTGCTGGGCCTGAGGGCACAAAACCCACAGGTGTGCTCCACGGCACCGTGAGGTAGACAGATCAGGGCTGCCTCATGAACTGTTCCCGGTGGGTCCCAGTGAAATAGATTATCAAAAGTGAGAGTAGGTTTTGGAAGTGTAGGGTCGGGTGAAAAAAAAATTTTTAAAAAAGTGAGAGTAACCATTTCTAAACCTTTATAAGCAACAAAGTGGAGTCGAACCTAAAAATAACAAAAGAAAGTGGTGTTTATCTTTTTGTTTTTAAAATTTAATTTTTATAGCAGTTCTTTTTTGTTACATTTTTTAAAACTCATTGATATATGGCAGAATTGATAATTCTTTAAAAAAGCTCTTCACCATAGACTGGCTTTGCTCTTCAGAGCACAAGGGACCAGCAGCAATTGGCCTTTCCTGGGGAAAGCTTGTTAAAAATGCCATATTCCAGATCCTACCCAGGCCTGCACGTTAGAGCCAGAGTCTACAGGATTACAAGAACACCAGCTCTTCCCAATTTAGTTCACTTTTTTCATATTTTACTGTGGTTTGGCTGAAAGTTTGCAAAGTAATCTCCCATCAACATTCTATACACATTTTGTTTTGTCGCATTAGTTGTTATCCCCTCATTATACAGCACTCTTCCAAATTCCTCCTTATGTTTTCCACCGACCCAGTACAGGCAATAGGGGAACCCTAGGTTAGAGGGAAGCCAGGGAGGAGGGCAAAGGAGAGAAAGCCTAAAAAGTCGGAGAGAGATGTGAGTCCCTTGACTCAGTCTTGGGTTCCAGAGCTTCTCATCCACAAACAGACATTCAATAACCTCATCTGTGGAGGAGAGGGATGGAGAAGGCAGGAAGTAGCATAGCCAGTAAGGAATGGAGTGAACTGCTGAGTACGGTATTAGGAAAAGGGACTAGTGGGAACCAGCAGATTGGAGAATGTATGTTCCATCTAAAGCATTTTCCAGCCTCAGCCTCAGACTAGATATGACTAGATTCTGACTTACAATAAGCAAGAAACACAGATAACTATGTCTCATTTGCAAAACACTGTGTAGTCCAAATCAAACATGTCTATGGGTCAAACCCAGTCCAAAGCAGTAATTTACAACCCTCACAGAGGCAGTCCCTTCGTAGCCTCAGGCTGCAGTAAACCACTCTGAATTCAAGTAAGCCAGGGCTTCCCATCCCAGAGGCCTCCACACGTCTCACTCAAGGAGCCCAAACTTCTCTTATAAACTCAAAGAAAGACTTCTATCCATGAAAGAAGCATATTGCTGCTCTGAATTCATAAAAACACCACACATTTCTCATCAGGAAAGAAAATATAATGGGGGAAGAGAACCAATAAATACTCCAGTGGTATTTAATTGATAGTGTTACATCATTCAAATCACCTGTTAACATATACGCCTTCTCTCACGGCTTACATGTGCATTCATCTAATACCTTTAACACAGTATTGGTCAGTAACTTTGAGCCACACTTGAAGGCACTCAACTATGGTCAGGCCAGCAGCCAACTGACAGGGAAGTAATCTCTCAGGGTGACTAACTTCCTCACAGCGCTAGGGAAGTAGGAAAGGTTAGAGGGGACAGACCCAGCACTGACATAAGTAATTGGGTAATGCTGATGTCTGCAGGACTCCCATATACTCTCATTTTGGGGGGCCTGAGAAATCTTAGATTAATGACATAAACATTCCTGGACTCATCTCTCTGACTTAAGGGAACCACATAAAATATTTGAGGTAATGGTATTCCAGAGTCTAGGTACGGAAAAGAAAGGTGCAGAGGAAATCCCAAGAAAAGGTTGTGATTATATTCAAATAGATGCAACAAGAGAATCCCACTCCCCCCATTGCAATAAGTGCACTCACTGAACAGTCCATGTTCTGGTGATTTTTTTCCCCAGGCCCTTAGAAGGCTTACCCCACAGCGGATACGGTCTGGCTGCACCACCATCAGGTTCCCAGGTGAATTCTCCAGTGGCAGGTTGTGCTGCTTCGGGCAGGGAGGGACCTTCTCGTCCTCAGTCTCTGTGTCAGTAACTGAATCACAGCCAGAATCTATGGAAAAGAGGACACCACTGCATGAGAACAGAAGCAAAGAGAACTGGGAGACATGTTTCTCCCAGTGAAAGCCCCAAATGTTACCAAATAGGAAATGAGTTTGAATGTCAAACAAATAATAAGTTGAAGGGAGCACCTTGGGAAATCATGAAAGAGGATCTGCTGCGTAAAAGTCAGCCACTGTGCACAGGCCACAAGGGAAGGTGGGCAGCAGGAGCCTGACTGCTGGAGAGAAAGGTCAAAATACCAGAGGCCGACTGCAGTCTGAGGCTGGCAAGGCTAATCTCAATCAATAGACTTCCAGAAACTTTCCTTCTAGTTCACCCTTGGGGCTAGCGTTGGTGGTTGTGAAGAAAAGAGACCCCTTCACCACAGTGGGACTGTCTATTTCAAGTGGGACTGTCATTCTGAATCTCAAGGTAAACCTGTGCTGTCCAGGGGTGGGGAGAACACTCCCTCTGGAAGTAACAGTGAAATGCAGTCATTCTTAACAAACCAAAAATCACTCTAACTAGGTTCCATAAATGGCCAACTTATACTATGGAAAGACTTGAGCATGTACAGATTTAGAACTGGTGAGCAGGAGAATGGCTCAGGATGATATGATGCTAAGATACTATAAATGAATGTCAACAGAGGTCAAAGGCGAGGATTCTTAAATAAGATTATGGATGTATAGGGTTGGGCAAGAGGCTGTATGCAAGGGGGGGGAGTATCACACACACATGTACATCCCTTCTCTTTTGAAGAGATAGTCCAAAACTTTCATCAGATCTTCAAATTAAGGCAGGACCTGAAAAACCGTTAAGATGAATAAGAGGAGAGGAAACCATCAACCAAGCCTTTTTCTAGAATGTTCTCTTGTTTATTCCTAAGTCATTTAGGAAATCAGTCAAATGCATCAAACACTGGGGAGAAGTACTTTAGAAAGCTCACAATCTTTTAAAAGTGTGGGAATGTAAAACGGTGCAACCACTATGGAAGGCAGTGTGGTGCTTTCTCAAAAAATCTGGAAATAGAAATACCATTTGACCTAGCAATTCCACTACTGGGAATATACCCTAAAGAAACCTTCATTGCCACCCAAGCAGATATATGCACACCCATGTTCACTGCGGCTCTGTTCACAATAGCAAAGAGCTGGGAACAACCCAAGTGCCCATCAGCAAACGAATGGATAGAGAAGCTGTGGTATATTCACATAATGGAATACTATGTTGCACTGAAAAACAAGGAACTTATGAAATATACAAAATGGGTGACCCTGGAGGACATTATGCTGAGTAAAGTATCTCAGTCACAAAAAGACAAATACTGCATAGTGCCACTGTTATAAAACAGGACTGAAATCGAGGTCAGGGGGAATCTAAGAAAAGAGGGAATAAATGATGTATACTGCACTGAAACAGATGAGGGAGAGAACTGTTTGAAAGGAATGTATAATTAGGTATTATTTTCATGACAAGAGTCTAGAACGAAAGTTTCATGGCGGAGTGGACTGGGGGACTGTATAATAATGAATGAATGTATGTATGTATGTATTTTACTTTTCAAAGAGAAAAACCAACTAGGGGGAGGGGTGGGCAGGGAAGAAAATGTGCAACAATGAATGAATGGAAATCCAAAGTCTCTGTGAACTTCCATTAAATTTTCAATTAAAAAAAAAGGGGGAGGGAGGTCGTATGAGAAGTATGGGTTGCTTGACTGACTCCTGCAAGCTGGCCTCCAGAGGAGAGCTGACCTCCTACAGAGCTGGTGGCAAGTCAGGTCTGGAGGTTAGAATGCTGAGGTGGCAGATGAGGACCCCCTAGAAAGCCACGACTGTGAGCTGACACCTAGAGCTCAGATCCTGGGGAAAAGATGTATTCTCATAACCATGAATACTGAGGAATAGGCTGGGAAGCTGAAGCATTCTGCTCTTATCACTGTAAGGTATGCACCCCAAAAATCTTCTTACTCAGCCCAGTACTTATTCAGCCATGCAGCTTAGAAGTCCTACATATAGCCTCAGACTAAGGCCTTGTCTCACACTGAAATGGGCACTACTTTCATGGGGCAACTACTTCTGCTGCTGTTGCTCCCTCCATGAACTCTCCCAAGACTGACTACTACAGAAGATAAGGTGGGGTGCTGACCTTGTTTGCACGGCATGCATGCAGCAGAATCTAGGGCTAAGAGATGGAGCAAAAGACTCTTGGAGTGGCGTGAAGTTAACACTGTTCTTAGCTGGGCATCAACACGCATTAGTTCTACTTTCCTTCTCATTTTACTGGCTGCTCCTCACTCAGTGCTAACTATCCCTTGCAAAGGTTCACTACAATAGTCTCCCAATCTCTCTACTCTCTAAGCCACATCAATTCTTCTGTCTTCAATAGCCACCACCCTTTCTACAATCTTCTCTCCTTGAGACAACTATCAAAATGCCCAGAGCACACAAAGCTCGGTGGACAGAGCTCCAGATGAGACATGACACTCAAGGACCTCCCCTCACCCAACAGGGGAGACCACAAAATCAAGACCAATAAACAAAACCAGACATAATTACTATTCTTCTTCATAATTACAGAATGTCACATCTAGTTTTAGTTTCTTAATACTGAGTACCTGGACATCCCATTCTCTCATTTCCAAGGTTCTTCCTGAATGAGAAAACAACCTCAGCAACTTAAACACTTAATCAGAACTATTCTCCCCAGGCATTTCTTGCTCCTGAACTGTCTAGAGATCCTTAGTGGCAGAACAGAGCTGTGGCAGCTTAGATATGAGGCACCGCACTGCCAACTTGAAGTTACATGTTTCAAATCCACCAGCTGCTCTTCAGGAGAAAGATGGACAATGTCCTCCTGCACGATTTACCACCTCTGAAAACCTCCTGGAGGATCAACTATCTAAGTTGATGGCACAGAACAACAACAAGTGACAGAAGTAATAGACACCACCTTACCTATTCTAATTTATTAGACAAATGTTATTTCTTTGACATAAACCCACAGAACAGTACAACACTGCTTCAAAAAGAGAAAAATCTTTTTTGAAAACTCTGTTATTTCTCCAAAATTATTGACCCATTAGTCTGTTGACCAAAGAGACAAAGCTCTAATGAATATAACTAGGGGGGGGGGGGAATAAGAAAATATAAAGCCAACTGAGAAAAAAATGTTAACTATGGCTGTGGAAAAAGCTATAGAAACAGACTGATAAAAACAACTATGAGATATTATCTCACCCTAGTAACAACAGCAAAATTCAATAGAGTAGCACACAACAAATGCGGGTGAGGTTGTGAAGAGATTGGTACCCTTATTCACTGCTGGTGGCAGTAAAATGGTGTAACTACCATGAAAGGTGATCTGGTGCTTTAGCAAAAAGTTGGAAATAGACCATTGGACCCAGCAATTCTACTACTAGGAATATACCCTAAAGAGACCAGAGCTGCCACCCAAACAGATAGATGCACACCCTTGTTTACTGTGGCTTTATTCACAATAGCAAAGAGATGGAAGGAACCCAAGTACCTATCAATAAATGAATGGATAGAAAAACTACAGTATATTCACACAACAGAATATTACACAGTTCTGAAAAACCAGAAACTCTTAAAAATTTACACAACATGGGTGACTCTGGTCAACATTCGACTGAGTGAAACATCTCAGTGACAAAAGGACAAATATTCCATAACACCACTGTTAAAGAATTTTTTTAAGATGAACTGATGGGATGGGTAGGGAGAAAAATGTGCAACAATGAATGAACGAAAATCCAACTTTTCTGTAAACTTTCATTAAAATCACAATTAAAAAATTAAGATAGCAAAGTTGAAAGAACAAAAAAAGGAAACAGACAGAAGTTTTAAACATCATTTGTACAGAAAAATATACATTATAATTGCCCAAAATAAGTGGAACTCTGACGAAATCAATAGCTGGGGGGATGGGAAGGGTGGAATTATCAGATTTTTTAAAAAAAAATTAAGAGTACAAGCCACAGACTCCTCTTTTCAATGAATTTATTGGCACAGAATTTTTTATATAATATTCAATTTAAATTTATGTTGTTGTTGTTGTTAAATGCTGTCGTGTCGCAGGCGACTCATAGCGACCCTATGAAGGAGAGTCCTCAACGCTTGGGTGCATTTCATCCTCTCTCCAGGATCATAGGGTTTCCGGAAGCAAGCTATTATGGAAGTGGATGCCACTCCTCCTTCCAATAAATTTATGTAGAAAAAGTTTTATTTACTAAGATAGTCTTATTTTACATTAAGATTATAAAAAAGATTGTAAGATTATAGACCAAGATTGACAGAGAAAGCTAATTTATTATAATAGATAGGTAGTTTACAAATAAAGTTTCATTTATATAAAAACTTGGTATGTGAGAAAATATTAATAATCAGGGCAAAATAAAGAAAGGTTGGCAAGAAAGATAATTCAGCAAATAGTGCTGGAAAAATACTAGTTATAACAGAACAAAGGTCGGGGAGAAAAGTGCAACAATGAAGGAATGGAATTCCAAAATCTCTGTAGATGGTCATTGAAATGGATAATAATAAAAAAAAGGGGGAAGAAAAAAAAAGAGATAACAAAGGTGAAAAGGGAGAGACTATTTAGATTCCTCCTAAATCTCATACATACAAAAATAAAATTTAGATTTAAATGACAAAAAATATATGAAAAAATGAAAAAAATGAGTGAATATTTTATCACTGGTTTGTTCATATTAAACAATGAAGGAAATCTAAACAAACTGTAGACTCAATGACATGAATTTAAAATTTTAGTAAAAACAGCAAACCAAAACCAAAGTCCAAAATTTATAGCAGGATTATTCATAATAGCCAAAAGATAGATAAACTCAAAATATCTGTCAACTGCTGAACAGATAAACTATATGTATTATCTCCATACAATGGAATATTATTTAGCAAATGAAAAGGAATGAAATGTTGATAAATACTACACTGTGGATGAATCTCGAAAATGTTAAGTGAAAAAAGC